GACCACGATAAGTGTTCTCTTGACTGGATGGCGATGAGGAATGATAAGGCACAAATGGTCTCTGTTGCCTGGAGGTAGGGCTGTAATAGTGTGAGGATGGACGTCTTGGGTGATGGTAGCATTCATCAGCATGCTCAGCCCTCTGGGGTGTTACTGCACGCTCTGGCGATGGCGAAGTTGATCTGGATTGCTTGGAACTCGCTTTCATCCTCTGAAGCTCAAGAGTGATCTCATCTATTCTATCACGTTGACGTTCTGCGTGCAACTTATCCTCACTGATTTTCACTGACCTTTCTCCTTCATAACGTGGATCTCTTTGATCTCTTGTTGACGTTACTCTGTGGTGTGACGGTGAGGTAGATATTCGATTCTCTATATTGGGCGTCAGATGTCTAGGCGAATGAAATAGTTGAGATGGAGACATTGATCTTGGAGTGCGAGCTGCAGAGTGTTCACTGAGGTCGCGTCTGAGTTGACGGTTCTCTTTCTCCAGATCCTTGAGGCGCATCTGCAGTGCTTCAGGTGAGAAGTGTGGATTCCCCTCATAGGCAGGAAAGTGATCAATGCCAGCAACCAGGGTGTTGTGAGGTAGATATGGACCTCCTGTAGCCCCTATTAGCTGTTCTCCTACGTTGGAGTGGTCTAAAGGTGTGTGTACTGATCGCTGCTCTGGCACATAATCCACCTCATAGTCATCAAGGTACCTTGGCATCTGCGTTCGGCGTCGGGAGCGAACTGTAGCATCACTAATCTCCTCACTATGTATGGACATTATATTAATTCAGAAGTTGCCGATCCGGCTCGAAGGACCATTTAAAGAATTGTTTAGCTCTTAGGTGCTAATTAATACCCGGTGGCAACCACCAAAAATGGTCCGATCAGAACAATTAACTTAAGCGATGTCCGTTTAGGAGGAGCTAGATGCACACACCACTCATAGACCACTCATTGCAAACTTAAACAGTTTTAATTGAGTGTGGTTCTAGAAAGAGAAACAACAATAATAAAGTATAAATATACACACTGATAAAACATCAATATGCAAATGAATAATATCTGCATTTGTTATGACATTAACACTGAAAATATGTCTTTACAGCGATCGTATAAGATTGGCTAGATTAGCTTACAGACACATGTGCTCGGCAGATGCGATAAGCACGTCTTAAAAGACTAATTCACAATCAAATGTAAACACAGTATAATGAAGCAACAAACTTACTCTTTGATGCACGCACACATGCGATTACTCAATATTGCGGGAGAATTGGCATTATCATCACCGTTAGGATCGTCTCGCAATGGCGATTCTAACTGTACTAAACTGCGTCAGCATCCGGGTCCTTTGCACCTTCTGAGTCCTAACAATAGGCGTGTGACTGTCGCCTGACTAAATAACAACAGCGAATTAACCATTACACATATACAAAGAACTGTATGAACATTAAATAACTGGCCCTCAGTTTAGTACAGCCGGATTAAGGTAATCAAAAATCTCTGTTTACATGGTAGATTCTTAATCAGAGTATTGTCTTAATCGTGTTAAAATCAGAATATTGTTGTCCATGTAAACATACTCATTAATTGATGTGTAGGTGGAGATGGATTATTGTGAGTTAAGAGATTGTGTCACTGCACCAACACCTTAAGGTCTATCACATTCTCTCTGTACACTGTCATGTTGTTTTGTGTGCCCACCACTGTTGTGTCACCAGCTAACTTTATGATGTGGTTGTTCTGATGCTGGGCAACACAGCCATGAGTAAATAACATAAACAGTAAGTGACTGAGAAGAACACAGCCCTGAGGGGCACCAGTGTTTAGAGTGAAAGAGTGCAATCTATTCTTATAGACCCCTACTGCTTGAGATCTGTCAGTCAAGACGTCCATGATCCAGTTGCAGAGTGTGTTGGTATAATGGTGTTGGAAGCTGAGCTCAAGTCAGTGAACTCCATTTTGACAAGTGCCTTTGTGCTGCAAGTGTACGAGGGCCAGGATGACATATGACATGGCATCCACAGTGAAGCGGTTGTGTCTGTTGGCAGACTGTAAGGGGTCCAGTGTGGGTGGGTTGATGGTTTTTGTGTGAGTAATGACCAGCCTGCTCAAAGCATTTCTCAAAGGGTGTAAGTGCTACAGAGTGACAGACATTAAGGGAGGTTATTGATGATTTATTTGGCATAGAGATAATGGTGACAGTTTTGAAGCATACTGGGACCACAGATTGTGCTAGTAAGATGTTAAAGATGTCTGTAAGAACAACAATCAGCTGGGTCAAGCATCCTTTCAGCATCCAGGGGATGCGATCTGGGTCAGTGGCCTTAACTCTATACAGAGTCCTTTTTACTTCAGCTGCTGTGACAGAAAGCATCTGGTCATCTGCTGGTGGTTCTCCAGGTGTTCCTGGATCTTCTGGGTATATGTGACCTTGGCTTATTCTACCCCAGCAGCATGGTTGTTCCTGGCTTCCCTCAATGCTTTATCTTCAATTTTGTTACCTCCCCTGAAAGCAGCATCTCATGTTTTGAGGAGGGAGCAAACCTCTGCATTAAACCAAGGCTTCTGTTTTAACAAATAAACACTTAGCAAATTAGTCCAAAAATTTATTCACATGCAAGTTTGGAATCATGGTTAAGGTCTGGGGTCCACAATGCTGAAAACTTTATTTCTGACACTTTGAAAATGTGCATATGTTCACAGTCTAAATCCCAACAGTGACAGACAATCAGTCTTCTTGTTCTCTGCCCGCCCAATGATGTTGCCTTTGGGCTATACTTTGGGTGTTTCTTGTGACAGATTCTCAGAGACCAGAGAGTAAGAAATTTTCCTATTTAGAATTTAACAGAATGTTCACTGAATTATTAAATATAACTTAGAGTTATGTTGTGTTTGAATTTTAGATCAGTCTGCCAGCATGGAGAGGCAACATTACATCAGTTCAGAAACAGAGGCCCCCCAGTGTAAGCTGCATCTAATTTTTTTCAGGAACCAAAGAAGAACCTCATTTCCTTCCTCCTCTTTCTTTGTCTGTTAATGATCAAATATACACGGATACCATGGAGTTGGCCAAGATGAGCCAATGGTATACTTCTTATGTCATGCAAGTGTCACATTTGATATTCCAGCAATAGAATACTTGCTTTAAATAACTGGCTAAAGGTAAAAATAAAAACATGGGAAACACAAATCTGGCTCATTTTCGAAAATATTTTTTTGTGCAGTGCAGCTGGATTTTTAAAAATAACACAGTACCAAAATGATTTCAAACTGTAAACAATCCCTGGGTTTCTCATTTTGACATAACATTCCACACCAAGAGAAGAAAATATCCTTGCTAACTCATCAAATACTGGTTACTGAGTGTTCCAAGAGAATAAATTCTTCAAAGGAGGGCATGCTTTAAATCAGGGCTATTCATTTCCATTTCTGGATGGCAACAACTCACAGAGTTTAATTCTAATCCTGATACCCTAATCAAACACAACTCCATGCAGTAATCAAGTAACCCTGAAAATCTTGATTGGCTGGCTCTGATGTGTTAAATTAGGGTTGGAACTAAACTCTCTGAGTTGTGACCCTCCAGGAATGGAACTGAATAGCCCTGCTATCAAAGTGTCAATCGAAAATGACAGACTCAAGAAACAGACATATGGACACATTGTTCCTTCGCCAATGATTATATAAGCCATCACTGCTGCTGTCATAGGTCATCTGTGTCTATATTGTTTTCTTGTCAGGCACATCTATGTTTAAGTGGATAAGAGAGTATTTGTGTATGCAACTATAAATATTACCAGTGTGGTGGGGATATTCAATGTTACAATGTAAAATATTAAAAGAAAATGTGTATAACATTTCCCCAAATTCCCTTACAGTCCTCTCATTTTGAAGTTGACTGGCCTAAGAAACTGAAATACCAGTAGTAATCTGGTACAGATATTGAAATATTTATTTCTGGCCCTTTTCCCTGTTTCCTCCAAAACCTCTTATATTACGTTAACCCAAGGACATGAAGGGCATGATATCAAATTCCTGACACAGGCTGTTCTAAAGTAGTCTAAAGAAGGCACAGTGTTACATAATAATCAGATTACTGGTTATGAAAGTCACCATCCAACAAACTTTGTAGATAAAAAATGGCTTAGGGCTCCTCTCAAGACAATTTAATACACTTTAAATCTCTCTCTCTCTCGCTCTCTCTCTCTCTCTCTCTCTCTCTCACACACACACACACACACACACACACACACAGGTTTGTTTTCTATTGTCCTACACCAACCCTACCCCTAAACCTACCCCTCACAGGAAACTTTGTGCTATTTCAGATTTTCAATACACTCCATTCTGTGTGATTTATATGCGTTTTGAAAAGTGGGGACATGGGGTAATGTCCTGAAAAGTCACCTTCTCCTTGTAATACCTATGTCATACCCTTGTCATTATACAAATTTATGTCCTGATTTGTCACAAAAACGCACACACTTTAGATTCCACTTAGTAGAAAGTGTGATTGAATACCATGTTAGAAAGCAAGTTAAAAGAAAGTAAAATAGGAATTAGCCTTCAACTAATTTTATCTCTGTTTATCAGTGACATAACCAACATTTACGTGTAGAAAAATTTATTTAAGAAGAGAAAGAATTAAATATGCACAATGCATAAAGGTTAAAACACGTGTGTTAAACTTTATGTATTGTGCATATTTAATTCATAATGAATTAATTAATGGTAGGCGGCAACCAAATGTGTAACCATTTCCGAACGCACAGAATTTCCTATATCTGAGAAAACGCGGACTGGATTAAAGTTTCTAAACACTTCTAAGTGAAAGGCACAGAAAGATAGATAGTAGATCAGGTTCTTTGCTTTCAAAATCGTTTATCAGAACGCGTTATTTCTGTTTATAATCCCTAAAACAACATTTTTTAGTTGGAGATCAATGGATTATTAACATAACCTAGATTAAAATATTTTCTTTGCATTCATCTCAGGTATCTTACCTGCATGATGTTCAGGTTGTCTGTTTTGATAATTAAATAAACTAATGTTGAGGGATCCTTGTTCAAGCGCGCTCTCATTTACTGTCTGCTTTGATGGTTCCGTAGACAGATGTGAAAACAGAAGAATATCCCGCTCGATTATTTTAGTGACAGAGGATGGAGAGAGAGAGAGAGAGAGAGAGAGAGAGAGAGACTCATCCCAGCCGTCGACTCGAGGCAATTTTTAAAGAGATAAGATCATCTCCAATTGTGGATTGTGGCAGTCAAGCTGGTCTCTCCTCGGGCTGATCCAGATTTAATCTCCAGACAGGGCAGATCAGAAACACGGACGCCCTCACAGGCTGACCATAAATCTCCTGCCTAACAAATAGACCCTGATAAAACTGTAAAAGTTATTTAAATTCTCCTAATGGACAGATTTATCCATCTTGGTGCTCT